CGGAGTGTGCGATAGACTTACCTCCACGTGGTGCAACCTAGGCAACGTATACTCATACGGCAAAAAAGTCTATAAACCGGCAGCTGACTTCTGGCTTCAAACAACCATCACCCCACTGTGTGCCATATTCGACTACTTCCACAGTACTCACCTCACCTTTTTCTACCTTCGCCTTTGAAACACTCTTCTGTTCCCCTCCCCCCTATCGACTTTTTTCACTTTGATGTTTCTCCTCCACTCTGTGAAGCCTAAAGTCAACTAAAGGGCTAATGATAACCATCAAAACGCTTGCCATTTGATATAAATAAATGATCAGGATGGCGGACTAGGTTAAATAATCGGAGGCCACTATTTGTATGGTCGCTGCACACAGAGTTATACGCGCACCTCCCAATCCTGGCGTGCAGGCATGCGATGACGCACTGAAACGTGTCCCACAACAGTGCCCCTGTTTTTGGACCCTCATTCTTTATTGGCTGCTGCTCCGCCTATTAAAAACTGTGAAAATGTCAATTCTCAATTTGTTTTCTTCGACATGATCTAATTTCCTATTACTCATCTCTCACCCTTGATATCTGCATTCACAAATTCAAATTTCTCGTTCAATTACCATATCATTCGCCCTCAAATGAGTTTTACAATAAGCACGAGGAACAAAACAATTTTTGTTTCTCCTATTCGGTAAGAGCTTCTGTAGCTTGTTAGCTTTTGGAAAGATAGTCAGCTTTACTGTTAGCAACGGCACTACTTCGATTTTCTTCTAACTAAATCAGGTGTCGATATTACTTCTTCTAAAGATCTGCTTAGTTTACATTGGCTTTCATCTGGCAAAACCTTAATTCTTATTATTTTATCCAAAGAATCTGTGGTGCTTTTGTCAGTTAAAATTGTATCATAAACATTGCATTGATCCTAAAGAATTCTGGGCCCAACATTTTCAATCGAGTTAAATATCAAAGTCATTTTACTAAAGATTTCGCATAAGCCAGAGGGATGAACCAAGTTACATGCATTTCATTCACGTACTTTAAAAGCTACGAATTTATAATATTAATTAAAAAATTACAAATTTTAATAATATGATTACATTGATTGATTCAATTTGATCTCCATGCTTGAATTCCAATAATAATGCCTTCAGTTATGGGAGTTAGGAATGGCACCAAAATGATTTATTGTTGGTAATGATTTTATACATTCAGTCCCATGTTCGAATACGTTCATATATTTAGAGAGAGCAACTTAACTCTGAGGAAGATTGTGAACTCTCACCGTATCTGAGATGGTGAAAGCGAAGAGCAGAAGGCATGCAAATAGACACTACTTTATCTACCCAGACATTCAGCCGAGTGGTATCCAGGATAAATCTAATCATGAGCCATTTCATTTAACAAGGCGCTAAGGTACTAGATTGGATAGCAGTGTTTGTGGAGGAGGAAATAAGGTCATACAAAGTTGTACAATTAACGAAAAGTAAACATTTCTGCTTAAAATGAGATAGCATAAAGAGTTTGAGCATAGACGGATCTTCTCAAGGCAATTACACTGATTCTCTCGAATTTTCTTGCTATTAAAACTGAACTTTGACAAAGATTTTTCCCCTGTCGTGGTACACTCATTTCAACTTTGAACTTCTTTGAACTTTCTTCTCCAATATCCAGAATTGGTCTTCTAAAACGTGAATTTCCAAAGTTAACCATAGGTAGGTTTTCTTTGTTGTAATTTGGCTCAAAGATTTTCGGTTTTTTTAGTACTTTCTTTACGTTTATTGGAAATTTTTGGCAATGCTAAAAGGACTCGTATAGTTAAAATTCCTGTGTTAAATTAATAATTCATTATTGAGGATCGTTTTTCAAAGAGGCAGTTTTGAATTGTGCTGTACCTACAACTTTGATATTTTAATTTCATCTTTTCAACTACATTTACAACTAAGTTCCCATAATTACCATTGTTGGATTTTCCAAAATCGTTTGATCTTCAAATTTTTTCACGCATTTGAATTCGGGAATGATAAAACCTCGCCTAATTAGCCATCAAGCCAATTTCTTTGATGTTGAAGTGCCTAAGTCTAAAATTTTTCGTAAATCTTTAAGGCTGTACTTTCGTCAACTAATCGGGTAATTAATGTGTTGTTATGATCGTCGGTACTCTTTCAACGTTCTCCTCCTTTCCCTCCCCCCACCCCCACCCTCCTCCATCAGACAGTGCAATTTTCAAAGGATCACACCTTCGAGACGTGATGTTCGATCATGAAAATGCAAAAAAAACATTGCCAAACACTGAAAACGCTACGTTAAAAATTAATGAAAATCCTTGTGTCGAATGCGAAAATTCCTTTAATTTCGTACCAGAAAGCTATTTCTAGGTTGGACTGCAATCTGAAAGGAATTAGAAATAATATAATATGAACCTTACTCATCTTATCGCGCAAAAACAGAAAGAGTTGCCGTGTAACACAAAAATACTCTAATGGAGAAACTGTAGTCCTCGAAATCTACCAGTACGCATTCTGCCATAATAAATATTCAGTCTATTAGTGAATTTTGATGATTAATGATATGTGCCAACGGTTCATTGGCCATCATCAACGTCAGCTAACTCAAAGGGGGTGAAATCGATTCCTTTCGGTACTCATCATGTGGTTCTGTATGATGGGGTACCTTCTCTCTGGTACTGGAGCTGGTTTTACTAAAAGCTCTCTATATGGTCCAAGGATAGCCAAATCCACGCAATTGTCTTCAGAGTTAGTGAGGACAATGAAAATTAACATGTCATGTAAACTCTACCAACGCCATCTATATCTTAGTCACATTAAGCTTTTTTCGCTATATTATTTGTCAGTAAAAGGTAATTGCTTCGCGTTTCCTTATCCGGAATTTAACCAATAGGAAAACAATTGCTCTCACAATTTCGTATTCTAAGTCATAGGCAAAAAATAAAGAACATTAGCGAAATAAGTATTGCAAAAGTGTAACTTACAACGGAATAGGCATTGTCACCTGATTCCTAATAGTAGTTGTTAGAATAAATCATGTTAACTACTAGTGTAAAGTAAAACAACAATGCCTTTCACACAGTCTAAAAGCGAGAAAAGAGTGTCTAGAATTCATCGCTTATATACTCAATTTTCTGGATGATTTAATTACGTGCTTCAAGGCGATTGGATATAATTTCTGGCACTGACAGTTGCCATAAAGTAAATGTACTTTTGCTTTCAACATCGTGCCATTAATCGCGCCTTCTGTAAATTTAGAAAATGAATAGGCATGTTATGTACTTACACAATTCTTTTAAAAATAAATCAATAAAAAATTAACAGACAAGCTCACTGCATAGGTTAGAAATTTGAAAGTTTTAGGATGACAAAATGACTTTTATATTAATTAGTATTCAAAACAGACATCTATCAGGTAAGGCCAGAAAGACGAAATAAAATAAGTAATAAAATATATATTTGGCAAAATAGCAGTATTTGGTGGACTGATTCTAAATAGAAAATCTTCCCTAAGTTATCCATTGTCAAAACTGAGAAACACAGGAAGAATTATTCAGAAAATAAATAATTCCTTCTGAGTACATTCGTGAGATAATGAATTAGTGGAGTATATAATGAATACTGTAGAGGTGCTCTTAAACGTCAAACTATTAGGTTGCACTCCATGTCCACTCCTGCGTCACCTTCGAGCAATTGTCGATGGGACCATGGTAGACAAATATTACGAGATAGTAATAGTTTATAGTTCTTAGTGCGAACATGGGGTCTCGCATAAATGCCATTATTAACGAATTTGCCGGCACAGTGGACTTAATTAAGAAATCCGATTTCTACCGATGTATGAAAACTGAAAGATAGTAAGTATGTGGCCGAACCACCGAATGTGATAGCACCCTGTCTATTAACCATAATTAAATAGAATTAATTTTAAATTGCATTGATCAAGCATTGATGCAATTTGTGATTGATTTTTTTGAACACGTGAGGTAAAATACGGAAATAAAATTTTGCTGAAGCCATAAAAAGCATTTGTCGGTTAGGAACTTGAAACCCCGGTAAACCGTTGCATTGACAAAATATAGACGGCTATAGAACGAAATACAAACGTTCACATGCAAAAAACATTTTTGACAAAGGGTATAGGGGTCAAGGGTGCCTTATCTACTAATTTCATTTCGCTCTATAGCTAAAATTGACTGAGGTTTAAAGAACTCCGTTTTGGTAAAAGAAAGCTCCATCGATACAAAAGTTTGTAAACTTATTAAAAATGAATTTAGTTAGAAAATCATGTAAAATATTTCCGAATCTTTATTAATCATTTAATAAGTATTTAAATGATGACAATAATATAAAAATATGATTTAAAGTAGATTAAGTCAAACAGGTAGAGCATAACAATCTGCCTCTTAGAGTATCCTTCATTATTAGTTAAATGGAAGAAAATATTTGACATTTTTGATTAGACAACTTGTTCAGAAAGTCTCTAGGAGCCTGAGGTAACTTAAAAAAGGAAAATCATATAGCTAAAAGTTTCATGTAACGGGCTTAAATATATTTCAAAAGATATTGTAACTTAAGCCAAATTAACTTCATATTAGAACGAGTAAACAGAGAAAAACGCATTTGCAACAAGTCCAAAATCTCTGAGAATATTTTCAAAGTTCAGTTTGCGCTTTTGATATATTTTATTTTGAATAATTTTCATTTCATCGGTTTATTTATTTCGTTTGACTTGACAACGAATGGGTATATTTCTATTAAGCGCTTCATTTTTACCTCAAGGTCAATATTATATATAGGTGGAATCGGAGTGAGCAGGGATTATAGGTTAGCCGCACGTGCTGATATTCACAAACTGTAAGGTTAACCTTTTTAACTGAGCTAATTTTTAATTAGATATTTATACTAAGCTCGGTTAAATATGTTTTGATTCCTACTTTCTATATCACCCGATTTATCTTTATTTATCCGTTATTTTAGACTTTACCTTCATCAACCCTGAACTATGTTGGAAGAAACGGAGCTGCTTTTGGTTCTTGTTGGCTTCTTGATAGCATTTGTACTTGCATTTGGAATTGGTGCAAATGATGTGGCCAACTCTTTTGGAACTAGTGTTGGATCAAAAGTCATAACTCTAAAGACAGCCTGCATTCTTGCGACAATCTTTGAAATCAGTGGGTCTGTTCTACTTGGAGGTCAGGTCTCGGCGACAATACGTGGGGGGATTATAGACCCTAAATTGTTTAACACAACAGCAAATGGAGCTCTTGTACTGATGTATGGACAGGTTGCTTCTCTTGCAAGTATGTTTATTCTTAATTTTCTTCCTGTTTAACTTTTCTTTAAATGCTCAGCGATAATTATTTTTGTGTAGGTTCATGCATTTGGATGCTTATCGCCACCTTCTTAAAACTGCCTGTATCGGGTTCGCATAGTATTGTTGGTGCTACCGCAGGTTTTGGACTTGTTCTCTTTGGCTTAAGTGGCATACAATGGATGGGTATTCTTCGTATTGGTATGTCTAGTTGTCGTTTTGACAGAATAATATTATTTTATGGAGAGATCGTTTATATATATATATATATATATATATATATATATATATATATATATATATATACATTTATATAAAGCACTTTTAAGTCAAAAGTTATACATTTACTTTTAATGAACTGCGATAAAGATCATTATCCTTTCATTGTAAATGGGTAGCCATTGACAATGTCGCATAGGTCGATTGCTTTCCAATATCAACAAAGTGCTGTAGAATTACTAATTGATGATAATTTTGGAATTTATTCGACAGAAAAACCAGATTATAGCACGACATCTCAGTGATTATAAAGAATTATGAGTATAAGTGTATAAATTGTGCTTATCTTTCAGGATTAAATGTTTATCGATATATTAGTTCATATATTTGGGCTTTTATTGCTTTATTCTTGTGTTGTTATAACGAAAAATATTATTCTGATGAAATATTTCAGCGTTGAGCGTTGTATTGTCTTTATGATACGCAATATAAACCGTTTACAAAGTTCATTAACTTTAAATCCATATTTTTATTTTTATTTTATTTATTAGTAATCTCCTGGTTTGTATCTCCCCTGCTCAGTGGCATTATGTCAACTCTTATCTTCTTCATCGTGAAAAAACTCGTCTTAACGAAGGTTTGTTCATTAGTCCTTTTGATAATTCACTTACGTGATTCCGCATTACCCCATAGTTATGTATTCGTGTACAATTTTTTTATCGATTCATGCATATTTGATCAATCTTTTTTGTCGAATGTTAATAATCATTTCATCCTCTAAATAACTATTAAAATTTTCTGTTCATTTGTGCGTTTTTAGAAGCATCCACTCGAACCCGCTCTCTACATTCTTCCCTTCTTTTATGCTGCAACAGTTTTGATTAATGTCTTTTCAGTTTTGTACGGTGGTCTTAGCAGTAAGTCGACTTTCCATTCCGAGTTTTAAGCAAATCTCAACTCTAATGATGACCACCTACTCTTTTGGTTTTCTAGTATTTGGTATCCGAGAAGTTAAACTCTGGATAGTCTTAGTCGCTTCGTTTGCATCGGGTCTCGTAGTTGGTCTTATTGTATTCTTTTTTGTGCGGCCCTACCTTCGTAAGAAGATATTACGTAAGTAGTCACCTTTAAGAACTTAACACACACACTTGAAATACGCTCACCCTTTAGAATATTTATATTTATCGCATCTTCTGCCTGTCAATTCCCTAACAGTGTTTCCAATTATTATGACGACTTATAGGTCGATTGGCAGAAATTGAGCGTTCTAAAGAGGAGGGCTATGAGGGTCCGGAAGAAACAAAATTCGAGAAATTCAAGCGACAGACCTTGGAGATCTACCAGAGAATTAGACACCCTAGGCAAGCACGTGCTGCCGTTGAGGCAAAATCTGATGACAGGGTGTCGGATATTGTCTATAACGGAGGCGATTCCCCTGCCGTTGAATGTTAGTTCATTATTTATTCTACCTTCTATCTTTCAAGCTCTTAGACACAACCAAGATTTCAACTTCATTAGCTCACCACTTATGTAACTGCTCAATATGGGTTTTTTACCTTCAGTCATACTATATTTCATGATCTAGACAAAATCTGTTTTGAAGTAAATTCAGCCTGATTGAAATCCCATCCTTTACTTTTGTCTCCAAAATCATGTTAGCTAAGTTAGCATTTACGCCAATTCTTCAATTTTTTGGGGATATTCATTTGCTAAAGTTTATTTTTATCCAGTGCGTGATAAAACTTTATTTATTAAAAGACCATTTTCATACTTGTATTTCAAGAAGTTGATACATGCCAAAATGTCATGTTAATATTTATTACTTTGCACGCCTAGGTCTAAACGCAGTGTGTTCGGACTTGTGTTAAGTAGAGGAAATGCAGATAAGTACGAATAATCATTGAGGTATCAAATTAACATTACAATCTACTCACTTTTTCTAGTTGTCCGGGTTGATTTGAGACGAGACACCAGAGCAAGATCCGAACCAGAGGTACTTATCACAGAGATCCCTCCCTTGTCTATTGGTAAGCAATTATTGTGAATGGGCTTTTTGTGTTGCCTGATAAGAAGTGACTTTGAATCATCACGCTAGTGGCCAAAACTGTCGTTTATTATTAGTTGAAACCAGTCAGTCGGTATTTCATTTCAACTTGCATGCTATGATTATTGTTGTTTATCGCTTTGGTTTCATACGAATATTCTGCATTCATTTTATTCTGCTTTCATTTCAGTCAAGAACTTGAGTAGTGAGGGATCAAACAATACCGACTCATCCGAAGATGAAGAGTCCCAAAGTGGAACAACGGTAAATTGTTCTCATCTTTATCAAAGTTTGCAAATGTGAAGAATTATAAGCCGCTTAAATTAAAAGAGGGCTAGAGTAGGATGTTTAAGAACATGATTTAGATCCAATTTTAGGTGGTTGTTTAGAAATGTTACCTTTTTGAGGTAATCAGCTCGGGTGGTTAGGTAAGGTAAGTTTACTTCTAGTTTAAATCAACTTACCTCACATTAAGGATAGGTGATTTTTTTTGTTTTTCTGACTATGAACGAAAGCGAATAACTTCTAAATTAAACGGTTAATGTCCTAGGGTGATTGATTATTTCTATTAATAATTTAAACCACTTAAAGTGATTTATTGATTTTGTACTGAAGAGTGGAAGATCACGTGAAAAATCGAAGGAGTTGTCTTTACTAGAGAGGACGTAATTTCATTTAGTGTTTTCACTAAAAATTTTTCTACATTTTCGTATGTGGTTTTTTACTGGACTATACTTTCCTTTGGCGGTTTTTCTTTATTCTATTTTTGTTATATGTTCTTAAGGACAAAGCATTCTTCTACGTTAGTTATTTATTTCATGCATTTAAAGTTACATGAAATATCAATATTCTGAATGCAGTGGTATTGAGTTAAATCCGATTTATGAGATCTTGAAGTAGTAAAAATGGTTGCCTTTGTCTCCGAAGCTTCAATCGTGAGAATCGTTGAAATATAAAGGATGGCAATGGAGGGGGGAGGGTGCAATAAGAGACGATAACATCTGAATTTCGAGAACAATCAGCTGTACACTTTCCATGACTTTCAAGATTTGACTACTAGGTTCTTATTTCACTGTTAATTAGAACACTTGAACTAGTTGAGTCATGGCACTTCGATTCATTTTATCTCTTTTAAATAATTCACAATTGGATGAGAATAGCAAATACTTAGACAAAAGAATTTACTTTATGAAGAATTGTCACCCACCTCGCTATTTAATTGTATATTATTAATTAATATTAGTCTAAACTATGCCCCTATTTTTAATCAAACACCTTTGCTTATTCTGATCAAAACGCACGTATCACAAATTGTAACCACACCCCTAATTCATTGTGATTTCATACTCTTAGAGAAGGCTACAATTACCATTATTTTTTATACCACATGTATCGCTTTGCAGAAATGACATTTTATCGTCATTCAAATCCAAGGTACCTGAACCAGTACAAAATTGAAGACGATCCATTAGTTCATGTCATGTGAGTCTCTTGCGCACCATAATGAGCCAATGATGATAATGATAGTTGATTAGTAGAGCGAGCCATCATTGTGGCTATGTATTTACTACTTTTGTTCAAATAACACCTCTTTTACAAAACTAAGATTGACTGTTTTTTATCCATGTGCTGTGATCACACTATCGCTTATTTACTATCTTAGTGGTTTAGGTGCATACGCATCCTTGACCACTGTCCAAAAGTGCACTCAAATCTACGCCTTATAGGTGGTAGTAGGTAGGTAGACTAGAATACTTGTTTTAAATGGAATCTTTTGCTTTGCCTAATTTCCCTTATGGATTCGAGTTTTAAGGCCCTCAGTGTAATAATATGAATGGGTTTAATAGATTCGATGCTTATACTAACATTACTCGTGAGGGAAAAAGATCTTACCAGAACCCCTAATCCCCAACTCCTAATTCTTTCATTTTATAGCCTCTTATCTGCTCGAACAATTAGTTTCCATGATTCATAATATTTTTGATAACACTAACTTATCTCTCCCAGGCAAATAAACGTCTGGAGATTTCTCACCAACTGAGCGTTTTTTTTCTATGTTTAAGTACTTCAGGTAGGACGTTGCAGCAGTAGAATTTAATTAACTCAAATGGAACAACAATGACAACAATGAATAAGGTCTGAAAAATCAAGCTTTTTGGAGGCAGTTGTATTCAAATTTCTCTTAAGTTTAAAATTCCTTTCTTTTTTGAGATAAATACGTAAGCATGTTGCTTATACTTTTGTATATTTCGTGGCCAATATTAACTTTATTTAAATCGATTTAAAGCCCACTGATCAAGAAGAGAAACAGGTAGACCGAGGATAATTGAGGTGATTGTGTTTCTCTTAATTGTCTGGGTTTGATTTTACATTTATGTTCAAAAGTGATTTAAAAAATAAAGTGAACATATTGTTTGCAAATTTTAGGCTATTGTAGTAATAAGAAATGGAGATCCTGCCTAACAGAAGACATTTCCATTTTTTTTGCATATATACTTATCAATGATATTCCATCTACTTGTGCTAACTATCTCAAAATTTAATGTTTTTTTCGCTATTTCAGTTGCAATTAATTGAAGATCGTCCTGAGGAAGCTCAAGTCTTTTCATTTGCTCAAATCCTCACAGCAATTTTCGGCTCATTCGTTCATGGCGCCAATGATGTGAGCAATGCTATTGGTCCAGTTGTTGGCCTTTGGCTGATCGCAATCTCTGGCGATCCTGTGAACTCAGCACCTGCTCCTATCTGGATCCTCGTCTATGGAGGTATTGGAATTTCGGTGGGTTTGTGGATGTGGGGCCGAAAAGTTATGGAAACTGTTGGTAACGATCTCACCACTATAACACCGTCCAGGTATATGATCTTTTTAAAAGAAAATTTGTCCTTCTTATTGAAGATAAAGTAATCAGCTATCTCCAGAACTCCTTCGTGATCACGCTCTAAGTAGACGTTCACGAATCTCTTAGAGTAATTCAGAGAATGTTTTGCTAGGATATTTTAGGAAATTATTTGATGTAATTATAAGCACGTCCAATTGATAATCTATACGCATTTTGTCCCAATAAATTTAAATGGAATACGGTACTTCAAGAAATAATGGTTTTATGTGCCTTCTACTCGAGTTTGGCACAGCAAGATTCCTCTTTGGGATTCAAGGAATGTTCAATTTGTCTTAATACGTAATTTGGAAAATTTAATAGTTTATTAAATTTCATTTAATTGTCGACTCTATCGCAGTGGTTCCTCAGTTATAATAAAAAGAATACGTTAAAACAACGAAATTCAGGTTTTTCTTTGTTGCACATAGTAAATATAATTTGTACTCTCACTTTGAATTTTGGATTAATTAAATGTTCATTTTGGCATTCATGTAACATTTTATTGGTTGTTCCGCATATAAATAGTAAAAATAAATAAGCAATTGTTAAATTATTTAATTTAATATTTTATTTTTGTAGTATAACGATGGTATAGCAATTTGCGCATGAATTCAGGAATATTTTCACCTTTGATAAAATTTTTAAATTTCTTCTTATAAAATTCGTTTGAAAAGGTCAATAGTGATTTTTCTGTTACCTTACTATAATAATCAAATGTGTCATGCGTTTTCAGTTAAGAATGTCATTTGCCTGTTAGATGTATGACACATTTCACTGTATGCTCCTTTTGGGCTTGTGGCAATGAAAAGGCTTAGGGTAATATCTAGGACTTCCAAGCTGGCAGAGAAGATGGGAAAAAGCGGTGAAATTGGTTCGTGCTTTATTGGAAGGAATTTTCGGTTATAAGCACTTAGACTTATCTTTGGAGTTGGAAAGATGTGGCCGTGATTCATTTCTTCATTTGCAACTCACTAACCTAAAACTGTTAATGTCATTAGTAGAATTAGTAAGAAGTTTAATATACGTATGGGCATTCCGAAATCATATTTAGTGGCTATTGAGTCTATGTCAATGTTTAAGTAGTTACCAAGGTGATGGAGTTGAAGTCCACTTTAAACATCCTGAATATGTATGTAATCCGAGTATATTTTTTTCTTGCAGTGGTGTGTGCATAGAAGTGGGCTCAGCGGTGACTGTTTTGATTGCCAGTAACCTGGGAATTCCAGTCTCAACAACTCATTGCAAGGTCGGTTCGGTAGTCTGTGTGGGACGCTTCCGGTCCAAGTCCAATGTGAACTGGAGACTTTTTATCAACATTGTCATTGCTTGGCTGGTAACTCTCCCTGTTGCAGCTGGACTATCTGCTCTTATCATGTACGCATTTACACGGACTCAACCCGCGCTCCATTCAACTTAGATATACCCCACACGCACGCACGCACGCACACACACGCACACCTACCTCATTTTAACAGTATCCATTTCCACCGATTACCCTCTCTCCCTCTTTCTCTCCCGTCTCTACCTGATTCCTAAATGCCAATTGATGCGTATTTTATTAATGCAATTGCTATGTGATACACTTTGAGATAACAAATTAATTCAACTTTCGAAAACACCGTTTTTTGTCATTACTGTGGTGGTTAGAATGTGTGAATGCCAAGGAGGTATCTCGTGATGAGCCAGTGCAGGCGAAGGTGAGAGGGCGAGGAAACAAGTGGATTGTAGTTTTTCACTTAATTGTGGTCGCATGTTGTGTGAAAGCTGTGGTTTTTTGATGTTTGATCTGCTACGCATGATGCACATCTCATAACTATTTTAATCATTATTCCATAAATATTGTACAGAAATGGGGACAAAAATTTTTTGGCATGTTTGTAAGATAAGGCGGAAATTGGAAATTGAAATTGAAATTGTTGGCGCGCTTTTAATCTCCTGATTGATTGGTATTGTGTAACTGTGAAAAGTGCATTCGACTTGAACAAAGCAGAAAGTTGTTAGATATTAAAACCTATTTATTATTTATAAACTAGCATTTACAAAATAAACCGACCGAATGTGTTTCCTATTTTGGCTATTTAGTCAGTGGACGTATTGGTAACGAGTTGCTAGTTTAATTCGTATGTCGATAATTGTTTAACTTCCATTTATAGGTATCCAAGATTTTATTAATATAATTAACAAAAATCACAGGAATATAAAATCGATATTTCATTTCGAACTGATAGCTATTCTGTGATGCCATGTGATTCCTACTAGGGATGTACAGTGACTTTTCTCCACGTGATGCACCCTGGGGAACGTATACTCATATATCAAAAAAGTCTATAAATCGGCAGTTGACTTCTGACTTCTAAACTGCCATGACCCCACTGTATGTCATATTCGACTACTTCCACAGTACTCACCTCACCTTTTCTCTACCTTTGTGTCTGTCTGTCTCTTTAGCATCTGTGGTTCACTCTTCTGTTCCCCCCTTCCAAGACGTTTTGTGACTTTGTCTGGACCTCCCCTCTGTGGAACCCGAAGTCAACTAAAGTGTCAATGAAAACTGTCATAAAGTCTGTCATTCGATATAAAAATGATTCAACTAATATACGAGAATAAGTGAAAAAGACGATTTGTAATCACAAGGGTGCTTCTGAACACGAGAGCACGTAAATGTAGTAGAAATGAGTTGCCTTGTAATAAACGCCATCAGGTTGGATACCAAAACTGCCGTATTTAATGCAACTGCATTAAACTGGATCGTCATCCTGCATATCACATATGAAGATGACACAAAAACAAATTTTAAGTAGTTTTTTGTAGTTATATTTATCGCAAATTCATCTCTTCTAACCGCTGAAAGTAAGGATAATTGGTAATAAAGTTGATAAAAATGGTTATTCTGGATCATAAAAACACCGAATTTCTGCGCAGGTTAATGATTGCAATTCTAACTCAACCATCGTTAATTAGCATTAAAAGCTAATTATTTTACATTTTCGTTAGTCGATCATCAATGGCCTAATTAAAATGGGTATGGAAGTAGTTAAACGTGCAAATATGCATCGTGGTTGAGAAGAAACTCTTTCTATCGAGATGGATCAGAAGTACAAAGGCATGAAAATAGCAAAGGATGAAGAGAAGGGGGTGGGAGGACTGCAAAGTGGAATGGAAAGGCTAGGGAATAAGAGTGTTGTTAGTGAAAACAGTGTCAAATTAATGACAAGATCGGGGAAAACCTAAGGGGAGTTTTACCCTCTCTCTCCCCCCCTCTGATCATTCGGTAGAAAGGTACAATTAATACCATCATCTGAAAATTTAAGCAGCATAAAAAATGAGTCAGTATGCACATTTTAGAAAATGTTGCACACTCACCTTAAAAGTATGCAATTGTTCCAAGAAGCATTGGTTTGATTTGAATATTGACATTTTAATAAGCGCTTCCAAATTATTTTAAGCACTTTAATTTGTATATTTACCACGAGTTTTTCGTTACATAATAATTTTATATAGCTGTCCATTCGAGTCTTCTCATTTTAATGCTGCTCTGAGGAAGACTAAAAGCTGCCAATACTTGAAGCACGGGGTGTGCGATAGACTTACCTCCACGTGGTGCACCCTGGGCAAAGTATACTCATACAACAAAAAAAAGTCAATTAACTGGCAGTTGACTTCTAACTTCAAACTGGCATGACCCCATTGTATGTCATATTCGACTACTTTCACAGTACTCATCTCACCTTTTTTCTACCTTCGTCTTTGAATCACTCTTCTTCCCCCCATTCTTCCGACTTTTCCACTTTGATGTTCCTTCCCTTTGTGATGCCCGAAGTCAACTAAAGGGCTAATGATGATCATCAAAACGCCTGCCATAATACTTGAAGCACTCGAACAACTTCATTCGAATCTTCAATTTTTAACGTTTATTTCAAAATCGGTATACCCATGGAGGAAGTTACTTTTCAAGCAACTTGTACAATATGATTACCTCTAAGTTTAAATTGGTTCGTTGACACTTTCATTCATTAATTGACATTTTCTATTATCAATATAAATTGTTGTTTTTCTCCTTAAAGTACATCATAATAATTAACTTCAGTTCACTTGGCCTCCCTCCAGCGGAATCGTGGAATCACACCGGCTTGATTTGTTTCAAAGATCGTACCATTGGTGAAAATTTATTTCTCATAGGTGTGTTCGTTTGCGTGAACTATCAAGCACAGCTCTTGAATTCTTCTTCTACTTTTGATCAATGACCTTTCACACACAGACACAGACTTGTGTGCGTGTGAAAAGCATATATGCAGGGTGGGAGTCACCAGAATATTATTTTTTATTTATTGAATATGTGATTGTAAATTGATTATATGAATATTCAAATGGCAATTATTGTTTACCTGTTAAAGCAATATAAACGAATCCTCTGCATCAGTTATATGTGAAAATAGCATCAAATGATTTCAAAAAAAATAGCAACGTTTGTAAGCCAAAAACGATTCTCTTAAAATGTCCAAAGTCGGTATGTGATTGTTTCGTTGACTGATTAAGAGCACTCAAAGCTGCTGATTACTAAATAGTCTATCAAAAAAATCATCAGAAAGCATATCCAGTGGTCTTAATAACTGAACTCACTTCTTGTTACCGGCTGCTGAAAGAACTCCCTCTAATCGAGAAGTTAAATGTCGTATAAATTAAAGGCAGTATATTTTCGGTAACTGCCGCTTTAAGCTGAATATATTAAAACAAAAGATGACCGAGTTCTTCTGTGTGCCTTTATAAATTTCGTTTTAATGACACTTTCATGGTGGATTATAATTGTCCTGTAATGAACCACATTTCCACGCATATAAGAGAGTTATTGCACCCACTTTCACCTTAAAGTTATTCAAATAAGATGCTCTACAATTCCGGAGCTTTCTGAAGACTTCTTTACCTTCCCGTAGTTTTGGTACCCAAATAAATGGTACTGTTCATTGAATAGTTACTATTAGTAGAAAAATACTCTATGAATCCCCGAAAGGAAACGTCCTAGCACACAAGCACCAACCTATAACGGCTTTCAAAGGGCCACGGTGCTATATGGAGAGTATTTTCAAATGTATGAAGTGCTTTGGTAAATCTCTCGTAAATAGATAATCAAACAAGGTTCAAATTTCACTTACCATGTCGCTTAAACGATCAGATCTAAGCTAAACAATTTCCACCTGAAAGTTTAACCCAAACTGGAACTTTAGTGAAATTCATGCTTTTTAGGGCCGAGACATTGCATTATGTTTAAAACAATTCTACTGACGTAAAAGTAGCAATTTTATCTAAATTGACTTAATATTAAGTAGAATTAGGAGGTGACTAGACGTGAAATAGTTAATACGATTCAGATCATGCTGAATCCACAACATTTCCATCAATTTCAGAGTCATTAAACGTGAGTTTCATAGAGGCCATAATAACACAAAATAGTCAAGCTTTTGAAATTGTTAAGTGTGGATTTAAGTGGAGTAAATAACATGACATTCGGACAATTTTGAACCAGAATTTAACCGTTCGCAGAAAAAAATTAAATCCAACTCTATCAAAAAAGTTAATTTTATATTGAAATTTCTAATGGTGCATATTTACCAGAGTTCATCGTTTATACAGTGGGTTGGAGTGCATAGAACATAAACGTCTCGTTAGATACATATATTGGAGATACAATAGCTTAATATTGAGCGCGCATTTTGTACAAATTCTGACCTACTTTAAGTAATCATAGTTTCTTATAAATTTTAGAGACAAATCCAAAACCAATTTAAAGCGCACAGAATGTCAATTCAGACATGAGTAAATTTACTGATGAGTTGGTTAATAAATGGAAAATTTCCAATGATGCTGTTGCTGACGTTCAAACGTGTATGATCCAACCAGTAGATGCGAGAATCATAAGATTTTCTAAGTACCTACCTAACTTTGCTCCTAAAGTAGCATCAGAGTTTGCACACGAGATTGAAGAGCGCGAAAACAATTATATGACATTGAAGAAAAACAAATGTTATATAACATGGGTGCTATTATTGGTAGCATATCTAAACGGTGATTGCCAATAAATGAATCAATTAAACCCAGTGTGTAAAAACGGCGTTGTTATAGGCTTATCAGTCACCCAATATAACCTACAATGGTTAAAACCCATTAATAACATGACATCACCCTAATAGTAAACATGATTCCAAAGATAATCAATAAACAACTACAATTTAGTACACTTTAAAAGATTTGCGAATATAGTAAAATAATTTGAAACAAATTTAAAATTTGTTTGTTTTTTTTCTATTTTATCTAATACTTCTGGGTGGAAAAGTTGCTTAAAATTACATTTGAACGTTGGATTCGATCCTAACCATTTCGGGAACTTTTGAAGCATTCGAAATAACGCGCTGGAAATGATCG